ACTAATTATGATTTTTTAGAGCCTAAATCTTAATATCCTAAACTCTAAAAAATCTTTTGACCCCTAAAACCTCAAAAACCCTCAAAACTAAACCCTAATACAATATTGTTAACCCAAACATACGTAATATAATGAATAAATAATTTTTAAAAAGTGGTATTTTTGTAAATATTGTAAAAATATGGTATTTTTGTAAAATGACATTTGAAAATTAGCATTTTTGAAATTTTTATTTAATTTATTATATTTCAATACCCATTTGATTCAGAAAAAATAGAAAACAAAAATGGTCGATACGTATTGATTTTTAAAAATTTAAATACAATGTTACGGACTTACGGTCCATGCGAAATACAACAACATTTTTTTTAATCAACCTTTATTCATTTTTTTCTTTGTTCTTTTTACAAGGGAGACATTTTAGAAATATAACTACACTTACCCATTATTTAATTACACGTCATTGATACGAGCATGAAAAGTCGAAAGTGTCGGCACGTGAACTCAAAGTGAAAAACAAATATTCATTACTAAAATGAAATGATACGAACTGATCGTAGTTAATAATATTAATTTGTGAGTCTCTAGAAAACTATACTATAAAAAATGTGAAGGAGAAGACCAATAAATAAGGGAGTGTTTGGCATATGGGACTGTGCTGTCCAATGGAGAGGACATTCACCGGTCTCAATGTCTCCACGACCCAATCAAAGCCAACTACTACTTTAATTTAGACCCTTTTCTCTTTTCGTTTTTTCTTTTTAATTCTTGGTTAGGGATTAATTAATGGCTGATAAACTTGTTTATTTGGGTAAAGATAATTGGTGCCCTTCTTCTATTGGCCAGTAGATGCTATTTGAGGGGTGTGAAAATTAAGGCAGCTTTGTGTTTATTTCATATAGTTTATAGTTAGGAAAGTGATCAATATAAAGAATAAAGATTCCAATGGGTTTTAGAAAACATGAACAAACTGCATAACTATATAATTTTTATTTATTATTTTATTAAGCTTGCATAATATTTGTAATGGTTAAACAGCTAACACAATTCTGTAAAGATTATTTGATTAGTAATATGGTTCTAATTGGGATTCAAAACAGCAAAAAATACATTTGCTAACATATAAAACTAGATTTTATTTTTATGGAGTGAATTTACATTTATCAAAAAAAAAAATTAAAAAACATATTGGGTATCCAATGAGCAAGTAAAGGACCATATTACTAGTTGGTAGCCACTAGCCACAGAGGATATTCTCGGGGATCGAAAGATGAAAAGGATAGAAACTTTAAAGTAGTTGGAGACTTGGAGAGATTGAAGACTTGTCGTCATCTTCGGACTCCGAAGTAAAACATTAATTAGCTATAGTAAGTTATCTGGTTTTCATGTCCATGTTCATCATGTTAGAGCATGATTATACATAATAAATATGTTTGAGTAAATATATGAATTTTATAATATTAATTGTATTGAGATTGATGA